GGAAATGGCAATTGTTATTGCTATCCATCAGGAGGAATCAGGCATGGATCCGACAGATGTTCGGATCAAGAAGAATGAAAATATCTTCTTCAGTTGGCATCGAGTGCCATTCGTTAACGGATGATCCTTCGGGCTTGAAATTTTGGCGGTATTCTTTGGTGAGTGTTGTTAACTTATATTAATTTTTTCAAAATTTTCGGTCGTTAATTTAATGATTTTCGTCTCAAACGACGCAGCGTCGTAACGACTTCCTGTCGAACAAAATCGTTGGAAGTTGATGGGTCTCCTGGAGCTGGTGGCCTCAAACATTGTTTCGCGAATTGTTCGTTTGGCTAGTGACTTTGTGCTGTTGGGGATCTTCAACTTTATCAAGAAGAAAATTCAGCAAGTGAAAAGTGAGTGCCAAAAAAAAAATTTCTTTTCAGAAATAACAATTTTTTGAAAATTTCACAGATGGCGTTCCTGAGGCTTCTGGTGTTGCTGGTCGTCGGTGTTGCAGCTGCTGGGGCGGACTGCGGTCCCAAAGACGGGGCGTTCGTGTGTTGGGACGTCTGCGGCAAGGAGGTGAGGGGCGCCGGCGGCTACGGGCGCCGCGTGACATTCATCGGGGCGACGCTGTTCTTGGACTACGTCAGGCAGGCGGACCTCAAGGTGAGTGTCGAGTGAAAAATGGAACAAGTGACATGTATGACAGCCAGTCTTGTTTGTAGGAGGTGAAGCTGCTGTCGCCGATGGTCTGCGTCGGGCAATGGGCCGACATGGATCGTGTCGTGACGCCTTGGAGGTGATGCGAGGAAGTCGTGCCACCCGAGCCGGAGATCTCGACGGCGGCAGTTCCGCCGGTGGTTGGTGAGTTGTTTCAGCTTTTCCACACAGACACAAAACATTTCAAAACACAACTCACACGTATATAACATCATAACACATATCCAACACCTGACCAACACCAAAACAAAAATTTTCCTTCACCATATTTTAAAAATATTGTATGTATATACAGATGAGCCTTGCCCAGTGGCGCCGACGGCCAACCTGGCGGTTGTCCACGTGCCGGCGAGCAAAACGCCTTTCGTGGTTTGGGCGCCGCCCTCGATGCAGCAAAGCGTCGTGGTGGCCCAAGAGGTGCCACACATCATCAAGGCACCGTCGTCGACGCCGGAGGTGACGGTCAACATCAAACATGGTGTTGCACACGTTGAGGCGGACGTGGACCCTTGGACGGCCATGGTCCTGGTTTTCATGGGCCTTGGTGGGGCTGGAGCCACATCTTTGGCTGTCTTTTTGGTTTGGCTTGTCAAGTTCATCAGGAACAAGGTTAGCCAGTTTTTTCTTTGTTTTAATAAAAATGATTACCAATGCTTTTGCTTCCATGCTTGCTTTGCTTTTTTGTGCATGCCTTTCAAACATAGAGAAAGAAAAGAATTCTAAAATTAGATAAAGCTAAAGTTAAAGAATGCATAGTAGGATCTATGCCCAACATTATATCGAAATATATATATTAAATATTTTATAGAAATCTGAAGTATTTTATTTTTTGGGATAACACATCAAAATCCTTGGGGTCAAATACTACCCCAAAGAAGATCAGTTGTCCCCTTGCTCTGAAAATACATCAGACCTTTTGAAAAATGAAAGGCTGACTAAGAGACAAATTGCTGGCATTATTGCCAGAATATTTGACATGATGGGTTGGGGAGCAGCTTTTGTCCTTCTCCTCAAACTCCTTTTCCAAAAATACAACAACGATAACCCCAAGACCGGATGGGATACTAAATTGTCCCTAAAGGAGACCAAGAAATGGAAGAAGCTGGCCCTAGCAGCCACCTTTGTGGGGATGTTGAGGATTGACAGACTAATTAGGCCTGTTGTTGAAAAATCCTTACACGTTTTTGTGGACGCAAGTGGAAAGGCATTGGGTGCCGTTATCTATTTAGTATCAGGGGAATCTGTTTCCCTGATTCAAGCCAAATCAATATTGGTTCCATCCAAACAAAGAACGGCCAATACGCGAGAGAAAGACAAAAGTCTGAGAATAAACCGACTAGAACTGTCAGCGGCCTGTCTTGTTATTAGACTGGCCAGGTTAAACCTTAAATCTACCAGCATTGCAGCCAATTTTGTCTTCTTTTGGTCCAACTCACAAGTTGTGGTCGGATGGATCTGGGGTGGCAAATTAAACCCAGTGCCCTATGTACAAGATTGCCTTCAAACTGTCCTCTCAGGATCCCTCCAAAATAACTGGAGGCATGTCCCCGGTGATCAAAACCCAGTGGTTTACGCGTCAAGAGGAACCCCTCTGAAAAAATTGAAGACTAACGCCCTGTGGTGGAAAGGACCGGAGTGGCTGACCAATCAACATGAATGGCCAAAACAGCCGGAAAAACCTCCCTGATTCAATTCAAGGTAAACATAACAGTTGGAAAATATCCTGATAAAATCCTTGAACAGGCTTACAAGAACACTGGAGGAGATTGGGTAAAAGTTGTGACCAGGACAATGACCTGGCTTAAAATACGAGAATTCTTCAGAAACCAAGCAAAAAAGAGCCACAGAAAACCCCGTCTATTTCCTCCCACAAAAAGAGAAACATATATGGGGGATGGCATCTTCAAAAAAAACCATTCCTGAGAAACTTTTCCCCCCTTGAATTTATGGAGGGTATCGTGGAAACCGTCCGCTCAGTTCAAAGAATCGGGGCCCCCACAGAGTGGGAGATCCTTGTTCAAGGAGGCACAATACAAGGGTGAGAGGATCTCACCTGGAATCCCAGGATGAACCTGTTGATCTCTCAAAGTTGACAGGCTAGAGACCAAAGCACCCATGTACCAAAAGGGCACCTTACCTGAGCCTCTCTTGTATTTCTACCTCCTCCAAAAAAGCGGGGGGATCTTGGATTTATCCAATCCCTGTTTCTCACCTTTCACGAGGATTTGGGTCACCCCTCACCCAATACGCTCATGACAATCTTTAACAAAACATTCTGGATGAAGGGATTGAGGGTTTTGGCAAAACAGATACAAAAAAAAATGCAACTGGTGTTGCAGATTTGACACCAGGCAGTTCCTGCCTCCCCTTGCGCCCTTGCCAGATTTTAGATACAATGGGATAATCCCCTCCAATACAGTGGGGATTGACTTTGTTGGCCCGTTCTTAACAACAAATGGAGCAAAATTCTCCATCTGTGTCTTTTCCTGCGCAAAAACCAGGGCTATAGACCTTCAACCTGTGATGAACGTATCACTGGAATCTTTCATCTTTGCCTTGTTATCTTAGAAATACAGTAACTTACAGAAGACCCTTTTTGGTAGTTTCAGAAGAAACCTTTTAGAAAGCCTAGAAATGGGAAATTGCTAAAGGGAAGATAATCGCTGCAATTTCCTTGATGAGAAGCCTTGACAACTTCTCATGACAAGCTACAATAACCTTCCTTAGGTAATTAAAATACAATCAATCCTGAAACCCTGGTGGGCTCAACTCTTTACGAAATTTGAGTGATATTTGGTTGTCTTGTTCTTGTTGCGCGTGTTCATTATCACTGATGTGTAACCAGCACAATTATATTTCACTCAGAGCAATTTCCACTCTGTTCATTTCACGGATTGGGATTTCCGCTATTAGGGTTGCGATGATTGTTTCCTTTGTTTCCCCCATCTAGGCTGGCTAGGTTTAAATACCCCTGCTTGGTGAAATCTCAAGAGAGATCTCATCCAAGCTTCATACAGTAAACTCCATAGTCGATACTCTGACAAAGCTCAAACCTTATTTCAAAGTAAAGACAAGCTGGACTTGTGTGTTTGTGCATTTGTATTGTTGTATTGAATGTTTGTATGTGGATGAGAATATTGTATAAAGAATATTAATCCAGAATAAGAACTTGGTTCTTTTATTCTCGACTCAGTCCTGTAATAGAAAGGACAACAATTTGATGGGAAAGAAAAGAATGTTATTTAAGACAGAAATTTGTTTGAATCAGCAATCCCAAAAATGCATTAAAAATCCAGCTGAACCTTGAGCCACTTTCTGAGGACTAATTTCTTCATCAGATTGAAATTTATTAAAACAGTGCATCTAAGGGGTTTCTGCTAAAAAGAACAGTTGTTTTATGAGGTTCATGAAAATTTTGTGTTGCTCTATCTGCTTGTTTTATGTTCTGTGCAATCTGTATAACTAACAAGACTATGATATGCTTCACATTTATTATTTGTATGATATTATTGTACGCTTGCGGATTTCCATGTTGATTTTCAATGTTTTTGTCTTCCATTGGTTTGTTATTGATTGTACTAGGCCCATGATCTTGTACCTCCATCATTTGATTCTCTATGTTAATGTGCTCTTCTGTGTTAACCTGATTCATATCTGGTTCATTATTTTCTAATGGACAATTTTCTATTGGTTCTGGGTGATTCAAATTCTCAGGATTGTTTTGATTTTGCAAGTTATTTTGATTGTCAATGGACTCTTCAGGACTCACGCTTGGGGGTTCTTCCCCCCTGTTTTGAGTAGGTGGTCAGCTGTGGACCATGTTTCTTCTCTGATGACGTTGAGTGTTGGTCCTGATTGACAATTTTGACAATTTTTGCGCTTTATTTACTTCTTTTTGAATGCACACTTTTTACTTTCTAGGGGAGGTTAATATTACTTTTATGTGTTACGTTACGAGTTGAGTTACAATTTTTAAATTTTGTGAGAAAAAAGAGAAAAAAATTTTTTTTACTTTACGCTCTGCTACCACTTGTGGAGTACAAGCCACATAGATTTGAAGCTAATCAGAAACACAAAAGAATTCAAATAAAATGCAGAATCCGCCGGGGAACACGGCAGGGAACCTTTTGATAAAGGTTCCAAAAAAGAAGCTAGTAAATTTGTATTTCAAATAAAGCACACAGAAAACAAGAGATCTTCACGCAACGCGAGGTAGAATTGGACTGTAAAAAAGTGTATAATTTTAATATGGACGTCGCTGAAATTCCAGGCTGGAATTCCAGCGTGGAGTTTGCGTGTCGAGTATGAAGAAGGGCTCAGCGCCCTCTGTCCTTAACAGCTGTAACCACAAACTCACGTGCTGGTTTAATTTCTGTGCTGTAACCTATTCAACTTCTCCAGTTTTATAAATCTTGATTTCGCTGTTCAAAAATTTCCAAACCTGCACTATACCAGGGCTTTTCAACCTTTTCAAAGCGCGTACCCCTTTTTATCCCAAAGAACAGTCATGTACCCCTTGTGATCTAAAAATTGGGTGTAAATGGCATATTAAACTACATGTTCTGGATTATCCCTGAAAAATATGTGAATATTTTAGCAACAGCCAAACTCACTCAATAAAATCTTTCAGGAATTTCAATGAAATTAGGGCAGGCAGATATACAAACACAGATCAGAGTGATGCAGTTGCTTTGAAAGAATAACATCATTTTATGACTTAGTATGCATGAATGATACTGGTAGATCACTTGCAACTATTTTCAAGACAGCCTCATGTAAAGAAAACTGAATGCTAATTTGAAGGAAATGATTTTTTATTCTCATGATGATATCAGAATAGCTTTCAGTTACCAATCAAAACAAAGTAATTACAGACAATTTCTGCATGACAGTTTTGATTCACTTTCAAACTGAGTTGCACCATCAATCCTTCAACCACCTCCAGTGAAGAACTTTTAAGCTTGAAATCAAGGTTCTTGCACCTGTTTCTGCTCCAAAGTTCATGGCAGCAAGGTTCCAGCACTCTGTAAGCAGGAGTAAGATGAAGAAAAGTGGAAAGTTATAAAGGATGTTGGCTCACCTCCAATTAATGGGAAACTTGTGCCTGTTTTCCAGTCATCAATCTTTCCAGTTTGGGCTTCAGGCTACTTACAGACAAAATCAAGTCAGATTCGAGTTGAAGATCATTCCTCTCCTTTGTTTTTATGCACTTTGATGAAGAAAATGCCTTTTCACAAAGGTAGGTTGAACCAAATGGGAGTAAAGCTATGATAGCTTTTTCCCCCACTGCAGGATATGATTTCACAACATGGCACCAAAACTCAGACAGGGTTTTCTCATTGAAGATTTCTTTCAAATTGCGATCTGATGAAAGTTCCACAAGCATTTCCTGCTCATCACCAGAAAGATCAGAATTCACTGCATTTTCCAAAAGGAAGGGAGAGGGAACCCATCGTTTTCCAACACTGAATCCTTTGGTCAGAAAAGGAAAGTATGATGCAAATTCAGAGTACAACTGCTCCAAATGATTCCTGATTATTTCCTTGATTTTTTTGGTGTCAGGAACAGAATTCAGCTCAACAAATTCAGACACTAAGGAAAATGATGCAATATTCCCTTTTTTCACTTGTCCCAGCCATAGGAAAATTTTTTTGTGGAATCCAGACACCTTGTCCTCCATGATAAACACATTATGACCAGGTCCTTGCAGGGATCTATTCAGGTCATTCAGCTTCTTGAATATATCAGCCAAGTAGCCAAGGCAAGACACCCAGAAAACATCTTCAAATTTTTCTGCAAATGGTGATGAAACATTTGCCAGGAACAGCTGGGTTTCTTCTTTGAGTTCAAATAATCTTGACAGTGTTTCTCCTCTTGACAGCCATTGTACCTCTGTATGAAAGAGGAGTGTGTGGTGATCAGCATTCACATCCTTGCATAACAGCCTGAACAAGCGCCCATTCACTGGCCTGCTCTTGATGAAATTAATTATTTTTGAGGCATCCTCCAAAACCTCATGCAACAATGGGCTGATCCTTTTTGAAGCAAGTGCATGTCTATGCAGAATGCAATGAGTCAAAGAAATAGAGCTATTTCTTTCCTTTGCTCGGGCTATTACCCCAGATATTCTTCCAGTGATGGCAGCTGCACCATCTGAACATATTGCTACACACCAACTCCACATAATCCCATGTTCATTGAAGAAATTGTCAATCAGGTTGAAAATTTCTTCCCCAGTTGCTCTCCCAGGAAGGGGGCAACAGAAAAGAATGTGTTCCAAAATATTTTCTGAATCATGAACACGCACAAAAACAATCAGCTGTGCCTCACCAGCTATATCAGTGCTTTCATCCAATTGGAAAGCAAATTTTTCTGCTGCTGCAATCTTCCCCACAACTTGCTGAGTGACATCTGAGGCCATTTCTTGTATTCTCCTTTGAACAGTGTTATCTGAACATGGAATATTACGAATAGCTTCAGCCATTTTTTCATCAAAAAGAATTTTGGCAATGGCAATGGCAGATGGAATGACAACTTCTTCCACAATTGTATGTGCTTTATTTTTCTTTGCTGCAATCAATGACAGCTCATATGATGCTTGCAAGCATTTCTTTGAGACTGTTGTTGTCTTCTTAAAAGCAGAGCAACGTTTCACGTATTCCTCCTTCTTCCTTAGAAAAAAATCCAAGCTCTTGGTGGAGTGTTCTTTATGCTTGGAAGTCAAGTGTCTCCGGAGCATAGCAGGCTTCATTGAATGTTTTGATAGCACTTCATTGCAGATGACACAAACAGGACGCTGCTGATCATTTTCAGATGTATAATAAAATCCATACTTCAGGTAGTCATCATCATATTTTCGAATTTTTGTCAACTTCTGCTTTTTCTCAGGAACTTCTCGACCTGGATCACTTTGTTTTTTTGCCTTTGAGCTTTTGAGAAATTTGTCCATATTTGACTATATGCCTGCAATACACCCCAAATAAAAATGCAATGCAGATAAATTCAAACAGTACAATATAATCAAGTACATTCACATGAAAATTGAAGCAATTGTGAAATCCTGTGCCTTGCCTTTGCATCAACCACAATCAATATGTTGATTTATGTCATGAGAACTGCTGTTCATCATAGAGAAAGTAAGGAAATTACCTCATCATTCACTGCAGCAATGAATACATGCCAAGCTCCAATCCAGAAAAACAAGGTAATTACTTTTATAGTGAATCTTGTGAACATTCAGAATCATTAAATGCATGAAGGACACACTGAACTGCTAATACTGCATAGTGGAATTGGTGATCAAAATTTATCACAATTTCAAGGCTATTCCTGGTGCATTGAAATCAAGTTGTACAGGGAATGCCAGAAAAAGGAACTAGTTGTCAGGGAAAAATTGGTTGAAAAGCAAAAAATAAGTTTCTTGCTAACTTTGAAGGTTCAGATGAATTGTAAAAAAAAAATTCTTTGCTGGATTGTTGCAGAGTTCAAAATATAATTTTGGGTTTGAAAGTCTTTAAATTTGTGAGTTCTGACAGGACTGCCATTTTTTGCAAAGAAGGGAGAGAAAAGTTTGGGAAGTTCTTCATTAAGGGCTCTTTTTTGACTGGTTGAACTTCTGTTTAAATTTAGCACTTATTGTCCTGTTTTTAAAATTTTTGGTATTCATCTACTCATAGCTCTGTCATTGAAGAAATTTCAGGTGAATATGTCTGAGCTTTCAAAAAGTTTCTTTCAGAATACATTCCCAAAGTGTCCAGAACATTTCCTGTCAGGAACCCACCAAGCTGATTCACAAAATGTCTGCCAAGTTTACTCACCCACCCATTCCTCCTGGCTGTTGTTGATGCAGAGGTGGAAGAGAATGAGCACAGCAGGTGATCCTGCTGTGAAGAACTTTTGTGAGGGAGCTTCCAAGATGAAGTAGAAAAGGAGAAGAAGTCCGTTAAAAAAGGACAACACCAGGATGGGCAATGGTTAATCCATTGCCCATTTGGCACTCACGTGATTTTTGTCCTTGCATCTGTTGTAGCAATATGAATTTTCAATTGAGATTGCCAGAACATTTGCAAATAGCTTGATAACCAATTGTGGCTCATGATAGGTGGCATGTAAAAATATTTTTTGAAATCCTTGAAAATTGCTCAAAATAAGGATTAACTCTTGTGTAAAATGAACCAAATTTCTAAGAATGCAGTGACATGAATAAAATTGCATGAACACATCAAATTTCCCAAAAAATGTTTGTCAAGTCAAAAAAACCATATTACTTCAAGAAAAGTCTTTCATATAGCAAGGAACCACTTGAAAAAGCATTCAGGTCATTGATCAGAGATCATTAAGTCTTTCTTGTCTTTGGAAAATATTAGAATTATCTAAGGAAAAAAGTATTTGAATTTTGAGAATTTTTTTCCTGATATTATTCCATCATTGTACATGTGGCAAAATAAATTTTCATACTCAGATTCCATGTTACTAATTACAGTTTTATCAATACATGTGAAAATTTTCAGTTTGTTTAAGCTTCAGACTTTTCTCAGCAATAACAGGAGGGGGTACCTGCTGTGAGCAGCATTTTGAGATCAATAAAAAAGTTAGAATATTTGACAAATTTTTCACTTGAAAATTGAGAAAACTTTCTTGCCTATCTGGAAGTATATGGAGTGAAATTTTTTGAAAGGCTGTAAGAAAAGTTTGCACTTGATGGGTTGAGAAGGTCTGAAGAAGTATGATTCATGCATGGCAATTGAATGTCACAGGTAAAATTTCAGTGCAGAAAATCACAGAAAATTGGGATGGTGGAATAACATCTTCATTCTAACTTTGGATTACTGTGTCAAGCCTATCCAGGAACAAACTCCTAAAAAAAAATCTTCCCCCACTTCACAACTGGACCAACCTGTACAGCAAAAATTTCTGGAGTCCCAACATCTCCAGTAATACACAAAGACCATGTTATTCCTGATGAGATATGAGGGGAAAGTTTAATTCATGACAAGATTATTCTTGGCTGACCCAGGTTAGGCCTGAAGAAGTTATTCCAGCCACTCAGAAAATCTCACAAAAAAGATCAACACTTCCTGATTTTTGACCAACGCCAGCTTTCAGCTGAACCCCAGACACACACACATTTTTCTATCCCCCATGAGACCGATCTCATCAAAATCTCGGACTTGAGTAACTCTTCCTCCTGCCATCCGTGGCAGGCATCAGTAATGTTTCCTTCCATTAAATGGATCATGAGCCCTGATTGGAGCATCCTGGCTTTCGTGCCAGTGCCTTGATTTTTGTCCTTGGTTTCCTGTGTGGGTGTGTGTGTATGTCTGGATTATTTCGGTGGCCTTGATGTGAGTTTCTGGGTGATTAATTTTGTGTTTCCTGTGTGGGTATGCTTTGGAAGGATTACTTTCACTTCTTTTATTTCGTGTGCAGTGTTGTGGATTGATTTTTCTGTTAAAATTTGTTTCTTTCACATATGCTGGCTGTCGTCCTGGAGGGAGAGGGGTGGGGAAAAAATAAATAACAGCCCTCCTTTTCCTGGGAGGGATGAAACTGGTTCTGCTGTGCTCCAAATCTCGGAAACCTTCCTCCACCATGATTCCCATGACTCAGAATTTTTCTTGAGCCAAAGAAAAATTTTTTTTGACTTTTTTGGGGACACTGGGCGCGTACCCCCTGGGTAGCACTCGCATACCCCCTGGGGTACGCGTACCACCGGTTGAAAAGCCCTGCACTATACAATATTCTGATTCAATTTGTTTCTAGCCCTTCCAAAACATTTTCCCTCAAATGCCTTTACAAAACTTATGTAGTCATTCATACCTAACTCTCCAAAGTTGAACATAATGAGACCTTCAAATAAAAATGAAACAAATTCTAGGTAGTAACCTGTACCCCTCCTGCAGTAAAAAGTATGAAATTTCTCATGTAACAATAGAAGACATAGAACATTGCACAAGTAAGGAAATTATGGCACACAACCTCACAATAGTTTGTGCACAATGAATATTATCATTGAAGATGTGGGGTCTGGCTATTCTAAAAAAAATGTCATTGAAGTTGAAAATTGGACCATTTGCAATTTTGAGGAGAAATATACTGCGAAATATATGCTTAGGTGTGGCACACTGAGATCTTGTGCTCCCAGGCAACTCAGCCCCCCAGATGACAACAGGGGTTGGTATATTCAATGAAGCAGACAGATATGCAGCAAAAATGGAGCCCTACTTTGCAGGTCAAGAAGTGATGGAGAGGGAATTCCACCTTTTACGTATCTGCTTCATCAACTAGGGTTAGGACATGGATTTACTAATCATTGTGCGCAGAAATGACTCAGAAGTTTGGATTTTCAGGTATTCACACAACTTTGAGTTAATTCATATCACAGACGTGCCACAATCATACTTCAGCCATCCAGAATCAAGCACAGATTTCTTATATAGTCAACCAATTCATGGCTCTGTCTGAATACACAAAAACAAGAGGTCAAACGAAACTGCAAATTCAATGATGAACATTAAAAATGCATTCAATACACAATCACTACGGAGTTGAGCTCACTCAGGCAGGGCATAATCTAAGTTCTAAATCCTAACTTAGCCATTTCCCAATTACAGAAAAGATTTCTGGCAAGAGATCTGCACTCTACCAGGAGAGGAACATGAATGACCCAAAAATACAATGCATATTTCAAGCTATCTAGAAATTTGCAAAGCAATCTTGTCTTCAAATCTTTCAATCAAAAGGAAGTCAGGAATCATTCCTTTCTTTCCTAGAATCTATTCTAACATCCCTTATGAAAAATTCTGCAGAAAGCAGAGGTAATAGATATAGGTGTAAAATCCTGAGGACCCATAGGCTTGGCGACCTTAGGGATCAGGACCATTCTACTTTTGTAGAAACCCTCCAGGACTTTCACAGACTTGAGAATAGCATTGAACATAGCAGCAATAAGCAAAGGACTTTCCAGTCTCAGATCTGCCAGCCTAACATCAAGCCCAGGAGCTGTGGGGGTGGGATCAGCTAAGATTCTAATTTCATCAGCCATAAAAGGTTCCACTAGGGAAATGCTGGTGCACCCAATTTGAGCTGGACACTTATCACCTTTGACAGGTGCATCAAAGTTTGCCCACCAATAGGCTTTCAAAGCCTCAGTAGGAAAACTTGATGCACCCACTCTCCATTCACCAGACAGACACTGGTCTGCTGCCAGTGTTCTTGAGTGTTAGTACATCAGCAGAATTGGTAGCTGGTGTCTCTCCAACACTTTCCTCCTATTTGAGAGAGGTTGTGGTCAAAACTTTTCATTACCTTCATTGGCTGTGGGTGGTTTGCTTCAAAGAATCATTAGCTTATTCACCAACTCCATGGCTTTACTGGTATCAGGTGACTGCATTGCCACCAAGAGTTCCATCTGGTTTGCTGACTAGTTAGGTGTAGGGAGCTGTAATTCAGCCCATTCAGCAATGGTTGATTCATTCTGAGCCTTGCTCTTGCTGTAGTTCATAGGAGTTATTTTCCAGTTTCAGGGCCTGGAGCATCTCTTGGTATTTCTCAGATCTGTGCATACCTTCAATAGATTCTAATGACCAGTTTGTGTCCACCTCTGCAAACTCTGCTGACCCCCAAGAAATTGTGAGTTTAACTCCATTCTGGTTCAGATTCATTTCAATCTTTGCTAAGACAGTCACCTCTTTGTCAATCCATGTTGCTCTAGCTCTTGAATTTGTAAAGACTGCTGTTTCAGCATGAAATGCAGCCTTGCAAACAACGACTGCCTGTAATTACTGCTCAACCCAATCCAAAGGATCTTTCGCACATCAAGCATGAGAACCCAGTTTCAGCATGGTTTGAATTTGTTTCTCCTGAGTCAGAGACCTCAGGGACTCTTCCACAGTTTTTCTTAGAAGCAAAGATATTTATTCCAATGATGGCTGCTAACCCTTATTGTGTCTGCTCTGCCTGATCATAGTGGGAAGACTATGACACAATTTTGCTCCAGAAGTGAGTTGTGCCAGACTCCACATACCTATCCTGTTCCTTTCAAGAACCAGGCACAGGTAGACTTGAATGCTACCGTAGGATTGGTAATTTGGGCATGAAGATCTGAAACCCAAAAGCTTCACCCCCTTAGCCCACATAAAACAGGTGGTTACTGGCAGCCACAATGTGGAGGTAGGGTTAGGATTTCAAGCACCAGAAGTTATGTAAGGTGCCTTACACCCCTATTGCTGTAACCATGAACTCACATGCTGGTTTAATTTCTGTGCTGTAACCTTTTCAACTTCTCCAGTTTTGTAAATCTTGATTTTGCTGTTCAACAATTTCCAAACCTGCACTACAATCTTCTGATTCAATTTGTTTCTAGCACTTCCGAAGAATTTTCCCTGAAATGCCTTAACAAAACTTTGGTATTCATTTATACCTAACTCTCCAAAGTTGAACATAATAAGACCTTCAAATAAAAATGAAACAAATTCTAGGTAGTAACCTTAACCCTTCCTGCAGTAACAAGTATATTTATCAAATAACAAAGACATAGTACATTGTACAAGTAAGTAAATAATGGCACACAACCTCACAATAGTTTGTGTATAATGAATATTATCTGGTAGTAACCTTAACCCTTCCTGCAGTAACAAGTATGATATTTATCAAATAACAAAGACATAGTACATTGTACAAGTAAGTAAATAATGGCACACAACCTCACAATAGTTTGTGTATAATGAATATTATCATTGAAGATGTGGGGTCTTTGGCCATTCTAAAAGAAATGTCGTATATTGAAGTTGAAAATTGGACCATTTGCAATCTTGAGGACAAATATATGGGGAGTATAAGTGGATATGTTGATTAGAAATGTGGAATTGAGTTGGGTTTTGTTGTTTGGAACCCTTTGGACTGGAACCCTTCAGACTGGAAGACCAGTCCATGTCTGCAAATATACAGTATGAGCAAAATTTTAGTGATGAGAAAGAAAGATAGACTAAGAAGAAACATTCAGTGTACAATGACGATTCTATTCAAGTATTTCACTTCACCAAAACAACAGAAATATGCCCAAAACCTTGTCATTTATTTGTTGATCATTACAAAAATTTTTAATATTATTCACAATTTTATATTTTGAGAGTTTCAAGAAAATATGCTGGATAAAAATGCATTGTTTGTAAATATTGATTTGTGGAGTCAAATTTTGTTTGATTTAGGAGCCATTGGAGCTAAATGAACCTATTCAGGCATTTAAATGACATCTTTGTCATTAGTAATGAACTAAGTATGTACAGTATAGCATTGTTCACTGCATAATAGTGATTTTAAGAGACTGAATAGGCATCTACCTACTGAAGAACTCCCATGCATTTAAGGACAGAGATTAAATTTGCAAAGGAGTACATAATGATCATCATGAGTAATTCAAATCTCAAGGTTGCCAACTTCCAACAGTGTGTTTCTTCAGTGGAGAACTTTAATCTGATGAACTTGATCTGCTGATTGGAAATATTGATTTTGGCTGTAAATCCGACAGTTGATCAAATGAAATAGTGATGAGTTGCCAGATTGGTTTACCCACTAGTAAAAAAAAAAAAAAGAAAAAGAAATAATAATTCCTTGGTGGTAAGTAGTGAATGACGTTGCAGTTATTTTTCATGGAAGATGTTACGCTTTTAGCTTTCCCTTCTTCCCCAGGCATTTTGTTGAAGTTTGCTCTTGGTTTTTGCCCAATTGGCAAAGAGTTATGTGGGTCATGGGTGCTTGCTGGGGTGTTTTCCACAATGGAGTTGAAAGAGTGCAGCATTATTTTTTCTCAGATGAGCCAGGGTGTTTGAGAAGAGGGGAAAAATGTTTGTTTTTGATTGAACATGTGCTGAAGGGAAGAAGCTGCGCCATCTCAACCTGTTTTTTTTTGTGTTTTGATGAACTGTGGTAGGGTTACAAGAAGAGATGAAACATTGTGACTTGACTGTTGATGGTGCGCAGTGTATTTTTTTAGTGTCCATAGGCTGATCTGTGTCTATTTTTCCAAAACTTTCAACAAATTCGCGGAATTTGTTTCGAATTTTTTTTTCATTGCCAACATTTTTTCTTGTATTGCGGAGTCTTGTTGCCAGGTTGTGAGGAACATTGAAGAGAAAGGAAAAAAAGCAAGGAAAAGAATTTGAATATTTTTGCGTTTGCTGATCTGGTTTTTTCTTTCAATACTTTTTTTGTTTAGTGCTAATTGTCATATTTTGTGGATTCTGCTATTTGTGTTTCAGATTTAGTGCCTGCTTTGCGAAAATGCTGCTACTTGAGCCAAGACAACAAGCCCATGCATCCCTGAGTCCCATTCTGTCACTAAAGCCTTCAAAAATACTACGGTGTGTTCTGGGCACAGTTTTTATTCAACAAGACAATTACCTGTCAGAAATGTCCTATTGTGGTTTGTTGTTGATGTTTTTCATGTATAGATAAAGAGGCATTACTGTACCAAACTGTTCTGCTTTGTTGTAATTATCAAACTAGTGAATTCATATCTAATGTGACAGAACCTGAATGCCAGCATAATTTATTTTTGTGAAGTGAAATTTCAAACTCCGGAATTGCATTCTAAGAAAATGTGTTGGTTGCAACAAATAGATTTGTGAGTGCAAACCAGTATTGTGGTGATTTTTCCAAAGCTCTATATACTACACAACACTTCTTTTATCATATTCAATTTTTTCCCAGTTTTCAAGGCATTTGCTGTATTAAGATAATACTAAGTTTTCTCAAATTTAGAATTTGAAGGATGGGACTTGGAATGTCAGTTTCCAACGATCCCCCTAGTATTACATCATAAGAACGGCAATATTGTGGGTTTCTTTTTTCTGCTCACGCCTTTCCATTTCTCAGCATTTATTTTGCTTTTGAAAGCTTTCAAAATACTGTACATGCATAGTGTCCTTGCTGTGACATTGATCAGTTGTTTTAGAGCTCCCCTTATGATATTTAGATACTTTCAAAATGCTGACTGTTATATGTATCCTCACTCTACTACTAATTTGGAATCCTGTGAATTTAATTGCAATTTGATGAATTTGACCTTAAAATACTCCATATCCCTACCATAAACATGTTGCATCACTAACATCATGCCATGTACACCCATTGAAAATCTGCGTACATCCATAATAACTGATTGTCAGACCTGTCGATCTGCCAATTATGGCGGCCTGTCTTATCCATTGCACGCGCTTTTTGTCTGATTCCGGAAACTCCAATAGTGATCAGTCCAGGTTTGTAGGTGCATTGTACAACACTATGCAATGTTTTTGTGGATAGGAACTAGATATTAACCAGAGGTGCACTGTTTCATTTAGGGTTGTGATGGTACAGAATTGCACATCCATGCATGTCAGAGACTGCGCATGCTGGTGGCTTGGTGGGATTGAAAGAGCCTGACCTCGCAGTACGATCAACGTGTGATGGGGGTTTCTTTGTGCAGAGATTGCCTGTTCGTTGAGAATGAACCTTTTAATAAGGACTCACCAAATCAATGGCTCCTCTCCATCAGGATAAATTCATCGTACATAGCTCTGCTACCCCTAGCTGTTCGAATTGAAGTAAATCCTCCCATGGAAAGTGGTGGTGTGCTCCTTTATTCTGACAGGGTTCCATGCTCGCCGTGAGTTGATGATGCTCGCAATCATTTGTTGGATCTTCAGGAATTTGGGCCTAGTTCTATGCGTTCTTGACACGGATTATTACCACGTCAGCTGCATGGAAACTCTACAAATGGCATTTCCGTTGAAGGTCAGTATATACCCAGCAAACAATTTGGGAGCTGCGTGGCTAGTTGCCAGGGCGTTGCCAGCGCGCCAACGTTAGGTGTTGGCCCCAACTCCCAATGCAACAAAATGCAGCTCCCTGCTGGAGTCGGGTACCAGCAGTCTATTTCAGTGCCCACCCCACTCCTGCACACCCGCATCCAGACCCCCCCCCCTCCCTGCACCCATTGCTTAGGTGTTGATTTCAACTAGCTAAATAGCTAACCATGTGAGGAGTTGAACCTTCTACCTGCCAGCTAGCTGGAGAAATGAAATTCTGTGCATATACAGCTGCCTCCCTTGAAAGCATAATACTACACCAATATAGGATGAGTATATTGGTTATAAACTACACAATATCCACACATAGTTGTGTACCAAAGAATTGTATAAAAAAGGAAATCTTTTAATGAATACCCTTGCATAGGTTAGGGTATTCATTAAAAGATTTAACTTACAAGTACCCTTACATATGGAAGGGTATTTGTAAGGGTATTTGTTTGGCCGATATATAATTGGCCAAAATTTATATTGACCAATTAGGTATTGGCTTCCCCCACCAGCTGATGTACTGGTGGGGGCAGTTGATGCTTGCCTCTAGAGGCACACATTGACTGCCCCCACCAGTACATCAACTGGTGGGGGAAGCCAATATGTAATTGGCCAAATATAATTTGGCTGATTGTATATGTGTTTCCCCCAGCCTCCAGGCTTGCCTCTAAGCCCATATACAATCAGCTCTACAATCCACCCACACAATTCTCTAATTCTCTTTTGATGTGAGATGTAAAAATGTTCTGCATTTTTGTGAATCTAATATCAGTTACACAAACTCTCCCAAAAGATTAATTACATCTCTGGAGAATTTTTTACAGTTTTATTTTGCACAAGGAACACGTTTCCAGAACCATCAGAAGTATTCACACACAAAAACTTCAAGTGTTCAAGCATCCCCTCATCCATGCTTGCACATCTATTCTCATTGCTTAAATCATCACAAACGTGCCTGAATTTTGGACCACCTTCTGCTGTGAGGCAAAAACACAACCAAATAAGGATTGAACTCAAGCAACCAAAACCAAAAAAAAACAAAAACAAAACACACTCATGTTAACCAGCAACAACCAAAATCAATGGCAGATTGCTGACAGGTTTTCCTGACAGGGCTTCAAAGATATCCCAGATCTTTGGCAGCTCTTGTGGCTCTCTTGACTAGTTCATCCTTCCACTTCCACAGGGAATAATCCGCCACAGTGGTGTTATCAGACGAGGGCTGGTTCATTCTCCTGTGACCTATGGAAATGTTTCTGTAGTGATGGGAAGTTCCCACACTGACAGGCACATCTTTCCCTCTGCAACCCGGCCCAATGCAACCCAGAGCCCGATGACTGTGCGCCATGAGAACATCAGACGTGTTGAAGAAGGATTTCACGGCATACCCGGGTTTCGAGGAGTTGGCAAGCCTGTAAACCGTGTTCAGCATCTGAAACTCCGCTGGGAAACCCGGGTTCCAATTTTCGGGCTTGGGGTAATTAATGGGGTAGTAGGCGTAGTTGAACGTGATTGTCGAGTACCCTTTGCCATTTGTCACGTTTTTGATCACCTCTCGCCAGTTCAAACCGTTTTCTGGAATGATGACCTCGTCCAGGTCGATCATTGCGACTAGATCCTGCTGGTAGAAGCTCTTGTAGATGCAATCGTTTGTTGCTACCATTTCGTAGATAAAACTCAGAGAACCATTCTTTTGGAGGAACAAGTGACGCAGAATGGGAGAATTTGGCCGAGGGCCCGGGATCGTCATCCGGGAGATTTCAAGCAACCCCTGAGCTTCGTAATACCTTGAACAAAAAATCAGCACCCCTAATTTAAATACAGTATCCAGGGTGAAATTCCTCATGAATTTACGTAACCAATATGAATAAATTGCCTAAATGCAATTGAAAATATGAATAAAATGTAAACATTTCCCAAGTATTGTGTCAATTTCACCTATCATCTGCTTCCAATGAATGCTCAACCCTATTGTAATACAGCATACAGGTGGTACCTTGCAATTAAACTGTCTTGCAATTCCATGGTAAAATTTTCTGGGAGGTTGACTCTCAATTTGACTTCTACCACACAATTCAACCTGAGTAGAGACATGAAACATCAAATGCCTTATAGAAAACATGTCACTTGACATTGTATTGCAATTATACTGTTTTGCAATTTGACCACCCTGCTATATGTCCATCCTGCATTTACATGGTTAAATTGGCTGGGATGTGAACTTGAAATTTGACTTACTTTCCATCGTTCCACCCACATATGGAGACGCAAAATGTCAATTATGATGTAGAGGACAACGCATTTGACTTTGTCTTGCAATTTGACCTATTAAGAGTTTGACTTTTTCCAGCAATGGATTCAGGTCATATTGCAGGGCGCAACCTTTACTGTATGATATTCAATGGTTTTACATTAGTTTATGGTTTAGTGAAAGAAGTAAGGATACATTTTGCACACCCATGTACTGTTTATGGTCACAAAATTTCAAAGAACATTTCCAGGGATCCACAAGGGATACTTTTTTTTGTAAACTTTGAGAAAACCATCAAAACAAGGCAAATTTAAATTCAAAAATTTCTTGTATTGTCGTGAAGGACACTTCCATTTTTCTGATATGGATTGATGCACAGATTAACAGCATTCTATGAAGATCAAAACACATCTTTCTTTGAAAAAAAAAATTTTGAAGAACAAAATGAGTGTGCTATTCAAAAGCATGGTCATATTGGGAAGTTTGAATGTGTATTTCTTATCAGCGCTTCAATAATTCAAATGTATTGCTTGACCCATGATAAAAAAAAATGAAAAACCAGGTAACCGCCACAGAAGGTAGTTTTTCATGAACTATCAGCCTATTTTCCATTATACAGGTATATAGCATTGCACCATGAGAATGCAAAGGGAAGTGCAGGCTGTTATGAATGATCGCTTCATTCATGTTCAAATACCATTTTTGCTCCAAAAAATGCCAGGTCTGCAATACATGCCAGTCTCTGATAATTGATGGGTCTCAAAGGGGGTTCAAGGTGACAGTAACTGGTCTTTGTTAGATGCCAGAGGGAAAACTGAAAATTTTGAATAAATGCTGGGGCCGGCTTTCATTGGAGCATATACAGTATATTCATGCATATTTGTAACTTTCCCAAATGAACAAACTTTTGGAAAATAGGATAATGAACTGCGTTATTTCTCATAAAGGCATGTTAACTTATATAAGGTGATATTTAATTTTCCTTCAACCTTTTCTTCCATTCTATGTGGGCATCAGGGTTGTTAATTGCAATCAAAATTTCAAACAGTTCACAAATGCAATTGCTATTTTTTTAAACCTTTTTACACAATCAAAATTTCAATCTCTGCTAAACATTGCAATTGTTGCCCAATTGTAATGGCTATTGAATTTTCATTTTTTGCAACTATCACAATTGCAAGTTTTAGCACAATCTTACAAGTTCATCTGAAAGAATTGCAATTCAATTTTACTCATATTTTTTCAGTACTATTACAACACTTGCAGCATGAAAATCTGGAGGCATTTTTTAAACCCTCAAGAAATTGTGAAAAATGAATCCTGAGAAAAGGAGAAAATTTAAAAACTTTTGTAAATTTTCCATATGCTACCAAATGTTTTTGTCCAGTGCAATTTTTGGTTAACATACCTAATAAAAAGGGATCTTTACTTGAATATACACCAAGAATATCCTGCAACAAGCAGATAAATTCATTCAAGAATGGTCAACCATCAATTTATGGCCAACACGCTGTGACATACCCAAAGAGCACAAAAATGTCCATTTTGGATTGGAAATTCATTCAAAATAACTTATCCCAGAATCTTGCCAAAAAGGACAAGTTTAGGACAAGTTGCTTTGGATGAAAATTGGACAACATGTCCAGTTGTGATCCAAAAGTCATCCAGAAGTGGTTGTCTTTTTCAAGACTTTTGGGTAAAAAACAGACCAGTTTTGGTGGTATTTGGTACATCTTTTGAATAATGATTGGAAAATGTGCCCAATTTTTATCCAAAAGATGTTCCAATTTCCTCTAAAACTTTTATTTATTTTTTTAAACTGCTAAATTGTGATAAAATTTTCCAACCACCTGGGAAGTTTACATTGTTTTTCACATGTGTATTAATTATTCCTTTATGGTATATAACTTTTCTAGATGCTTTATTGACATTCAAATGGCATTGCACCTAACCTGTAGAATATATTCATATTACCTGGTTATATTCATATTATCTAGTCAGTGATTGCATATAACTTCCTATCTACAATTGATTGATTACCTATTCCACTACCTAGTTAACCAACCTATGCTAGAGTTTTGCTGCAGATATATTTTAAGGAGTAAAAGAGGAATCTC